CTTGTTCCGCTGGCAGATGGCACAGGAGCCCACGTAGATCTTACAATCCTTGGCCATGTCCGGCCACCAGAAGGAACGCCGGAGAAGTTCCAGGGTCTTGACCGGTCCAAAATGTCCTGCCAGTGGGTGGTCATGGCAATGTCCCAAGACTAAGGTTCGGGCATCCTCTGGCACCACAATCCGGTCCTCCCTCCATAGGAGTCCCTCCTTGTTCTGGAGGGGGGCCCCCATCGGAGGTAGACATTGCTGTGGACGCCCTCAGGATCTCGGAGCGAAGGTTTGTCTGAAGGGCCAAGAAATTCCCTGCCGGAAGAATAGTGTCGGGCACTGGGATCTCCTTGGTGTCCTCATACATGCGCGATAATGCGTCAGGCTTCGTGTTTTTCGAGCCGGGCCTGTATGTGATGTGGAACTGGAACCTCGAGAAAAACAATGCCCATCTTGCTTGTCGTGGGCGTAGACGTTTGGCCGTCCTCAGAATATTCCAGGTTCTTGTGGTCCGTGAATATCAGGATGGGATGGGAGGCACCTTCCAGCAGGTACCTCCATTCCTCTAAAGCGGTTTTGATAGCCAGTAGCTCGCGATCCCCAATGTCGTAGTTCCTCTCCGCCGGGGTAAGTTTCCGTGAAAAGAATGCTACTGGGTGAAGTAATTCCTTGGCGCCCTTCCGCTGGGAAAGGATGGAGCCAACCGCGTTTTCAGATGCATCTACTTCTAAGATGTAGGGCAGGGAGGCGTCGGGATGACCCAGAATGGGTGCCGAGGTAAATAACCTTTTTAGTGCCTCAAAGGCTTCCTGTGCCTCGGGCGTCCATCTGAATCGCGTCCCAGCTTAGTTAATTGAGTGATAGGGGAGACCAGACCCGAGAAGTTCTTGATGAACTTCCGGTAGAAATTTGCGAACCCAATAAAACGTTGGACACTTTTCCTGTCCGTGGGTTCAGGCCAATCTAGGATCGCTGAGACCTTCTGAGGGTCCATTGCGACCCCCCGTGGTGGAGATAATCAGACCCAGGAATGTAACGCTAGCCTGTTCAAAGCAGCATTTCTCTGCTTTAGCGTACAACCCGTGCTGCCGCAACCGCCCCAACACCTTTGTTACATGTACCCTGTGCTCCCCCAGGGAGGAGGATGAGAAAAATCAAAATGTCGTCTAAGTAGACGATGACAAAGATGTCCAGGAAGTCCCTAAAGATGTCGTTTACAAAGTGCTGGAAGGTGGCTGGCGCATTGCATAACCCGAAAGGCATGACCAGGTATTCAAAATGGCCGAATCGGGTGCGGAAGGCCGTCTTCCACTCATCCCCCTCCCTTATGCGAACCAAATTGTAGGCTCCCCTTAAGTCCAACTTGGTAAATACTACCGCAGCCTTTAAGCTCTGGAACAATTCAGGTACCAGAGGTAATGGGTAACGATTTTTAATGGTGACCCTATTCAGCTCCCGATAGTCAATGCATGGCCTCAAAGTCTTGTCCTTCTTTTCTACAAAGAAGATCCCTGCACCTGCTGGGGAAGTGGAGGGACGGATGAATCCCTTACGGAGGCTATCCTCAATATAGTCCTTCAGGGCCCCTAATTCCAGCTCAGGAAGGGGAAAAATTCGTCCGAACGGGATTTCAGAACCGGGCAACAGATCAATTGGACAGTCATATGGGCGGTGGGGGGGTAGAGCATCTGCTCCCCGTTCACTGAACACGTCAAGGAACTTGTGATAGGCTGCAGGAACCACTTGTTTCAGGCTGTCATCCCCCTCAGAGCACAAAAGAACCTGGGGGACCCCCGGGCCCGAAGTTCGACACAGTTCCCGACAATATGGGGAAGGGAACGAGACAACCCCAGTTTCCCAGTCAATTTGGGGGTTATGGGCCCGCAACCAAGGGAGCCCCAGAATGACTGGGAAAAGGGGTGATGCAATAGCATCCAGGCGGAGGAGTTCCCGGTGCTGACCGGCAATGGAAGTCATAATGGAAGGGGTCTCCTGGTTGACTACTCCTGACTTTATCCGGGAACCATCAGCTAAAAAGATATGAAACCCCTTCTCCTTTGGGCGGAGGGAATACCCTGCTGTGAGCAAAATTGATATCCACAAAACAGCTGCATGCCCCCGAATCAACTATGGCCGACACCTCCACGGTCCTTTCGGAAAGCTGAAAGGAGAGGGGAACAACTAAGTACTGGGACGGGGTCATATCGCCAACAGATAAAGAAGATGAAGTGAACTTACTCAGTTTCTGCGGGCAGGAACGCACCATGTGACCAGCTTCGCCGCAGTACAGGCACAGATTCTGGGAGCGTCTGCGCTGGCGTTCCTCAGGCGATAGTTTAGGCCGAGCCAGGCCTAGCTGCATGGGTTCGGGGGCATCTTCAGCCGGCAGGTTCTGGATGCTTGGCCTAGTATGTTGACCGGATCCCTGAAATGACCCCCAGGGATTTCCGCGACCCTGACCAGACCTCTCCAATCTGCGCTCCCGTAGCCTACGGTCAATTTTAATAGTGAGTGCAATCAAGTCCTCTAATATCTCGGGCACCTCTACCCGGGCGAGCTCGTCTTTCAGAGCCTCAGATAGGCCCATACGAAACTGGTGTAAAAGGGCGAACTCGTTCCAACGAGTGTCACCCATCCAGCGCCTAAAGTCAGAGGCGTATTCCTCAGCCGTCCGCCGACCTTGTCGGAGTGTGTATAACGTGGCCTCGGCCGAGGCCGCCCGTTGTGGGTCATCATATAAGATGGCCATAGCGTTAAAAAAGCTGTCGACCGAAATCAGGTGAGGGTCATTGTTTCCCCTTAGTCGGTGGGGGGCCCAGTCTTGGGGTTCACCCTGCAGCAGGGAGACAACAAACCCCACTTTCACTGACTCTGTCAAAAAGGTCCGTGGCTGTAGTTCAAAAAGAGAAGACAAGAGTCACGAAATGACCGAAAACGTGTGCGATCCCCATGGAAGCGCTCGGGTAAGGGTACTCGGGGTTCCGCCATAGGGAGTGATGTGGGAGGCCCAGGAGCCGGCTCGTGGGCTGCTGCGACTGGAGGTGCAGGAGCCGGGGCCTGTGAAACAGGAACAGATATGGTGCAGGCCTGAAACCGATTCTCGATCTGCAGACATCTGTCCTGTAATGTGTTTACAGCTTGCGTCAGGGTAGACAGGTGCCTGCACACCTCGTCCAACGGGGTGAGTCCTCCTCGAGGCTCAGTCATGGCCTTCTGGTACTGTGAGGGACCGCCGAGCGGCACCACTAGCACTCCACCGGTCAGGCGTGCCCAGAGCGCGGAATCTAAGCCCCAGGGTACTTGTTCACCAGGGCCCCTGATGGTGGGGATGGACTTGTAGTACCCTGAGACCAGGTCGCCTCTACTGAGCACACCTGTCAGTGGTAGGGGTGTCCGCCAGGGGTTCCAACCAGGGAGAGCCAAATGTGAGGAGGTCGGGTGACCCTGATGGGATGGATGGATGGATGGCTGAGCAAGTGCGTAGTCAGACAGGCCGAGTCGGTAATGTAGAGGACGGTAAGGTACAAGGGAGCAGGCAGAGAATCGTCGGGTCACACGCCAGGTCAGCAACAGGAGGTCAGATCTACAGAGGGGCATCCAGGGAGAGAGGTCAGGCAAGCAAGGGTCTGGGCAGGAGAAATCAGCAAGGTCAAGAGCAATCCGGGTCAATAACTTACAGTATACAGGTTCACAGGATCAGGAATGCAGGTAAGACCAGAAGGCAACGAAATGACAGCTCAGGGACCTTTAAATATCCCGCCCTGCGCTGCCATTGGTGCCCAGCGGGCGGCGCCGCGGCTTCTACTGCGCATGCGCGAACTCGAACGCCGCGGCCGGCGGCCGGCCCGGACCTAGTGCCCGTGTACTGGGAGGAGCAGTGCGCCTGCGCCGGGGACCATCGAGGGACGGATCGCGGGGATCTCTGACAGTTGGTAGTTGGTATTGTTGAGCTTTGCTATTGTAAACTTCATATCTGAAGCACTTGCCATCTTTCAGTGAATTGGATTGTAAATGCAGCACTTACTTGCTTGTAGTTTTCCTTTTTCCAGTGTCTGGAGCTGGGCCCATAACCTGTTGGTTATGTGTTATAGAAGACACTGGTAGTTATGAGGCAGAATTCTGGCTTTACTTGTGTGGCTTAAGTTACAAACATACAGAGCACATTTCAGCAGACTGTATAACAGACATCTTACTTCCTGAAGAGATGAGAGAGAAGAGGAAGAACCAACAAGTCTTACACATATGCACAACTAGTGACCTTAGTGTACAGTGCCATCTACTGGTCAAGTGATATTAACATACAATACATGCTGTTGTATTCCCAACATGGCTGTCCCTGGATGTCTGTTCTCTTTACACCTCCATCCCCCATGAGGCAGGCCTGAGAGCGATGGGACATTTTTTGGCCACAGAATTACACCTCCACCACAAAATTTAATTTTACCCTAGAGGGTATCTTGAACATAACTATTTCAAATTTCAGGGGAGTTATTACCTCCAGGTGAATGGCACTGCTATGTGTGCATCAGTTGTACCATGCTACCCCAACCTCACTATGGGGTAATGAGAGGAGACATACATCTGGAGGAATAACCCCTTTGCTGAACATATCATCTACTACGGCAGGTATATAGATGACGTCATCGTAATTTGGGAAGGTCCTCTTTCATCAATTTCACCATTTATCGAAATACTGCAACAATAACCTTTTAGGTCTATGCTTCACCCATGTCAGCAGCCCTGAGTCCCTAGTTTTTCTTCATTTAGAGTTTTCACATCTAGAGAGCAGCATTGTGTCCAAAACTCATTTTAAGCCATCTGCTGAAAACTCATATTTACATTTTAAAAGTTGCCATCATTCCAAGTGAGTACAAAACATTCCGAAGGGCCAGTTCTGCAGACTGAGGAAAAACTGCACACAAGATAATGATTACTTAGAACAGGGCTTAGTCCTAATAGGTTCTTGGACAAGGGCTACAACCCCGAATTGGTGACCAGGGCATACCAGATTGATCTTAGACATCCTAATTGTCAGGGACCCCACTGCGGTAGCCTCTAGCACTCCACAGACTGGATTCCCCCAAGGCGCGGAATCTAAGCTCCGACCTGCTTGTTCACCAGGGCCCCTGATGGTGGGGATGGACTTGGAGCAGGCCGAGACCAGGTCGCGGCCCCTGGGTTCACCCAGCTGTGGTAGAAGCACCGTTGGAGGTGTATAGCAGGTGAGAGTCTGATGTGAGGAGGTAACAGGAGCAGCGTCAGGCAAGCCGGGTCGGTAACAGTGGTGGCGGCGTAGTACAAAATCAGCAGGCAGAGGGATAAACAGGTCACAAGCCGGGTTCGTTAGCAGGAGGTCAGAACGTACAGGGTTAAGCTGGAGAATGGTCAGACAAAGCCAGGGATCAGAGCAGGAGACGGACAGCAAATCAGGCTCAGGCAGGTTCGGCAACAAACAATCTACTCACAGGAACTCAGGAACACAGATAAGACCATACGGCACTTGAGCATTGCAAGAGCCGGGTTTAAATAGTCCACCCGACTCCTGACAGGCACTCCTGGGTCCTAGTGCTTGCCTAGCCCGTCATTTGTGACAGGCACGCCTGGGTCCTAGTGCCTGCCTGCCTGTACGTTTTGTCAGGATTCTACGCATGTGCAGATTCGATCGCAGCGGCGATCTTCCCATTCCCTGACACTAATTGGTGTATGTATTCTGCTTTTTTCTCCTTTGCTGTATCCCACGATCTCCGGAGAACACAATTGGTCCCTTCCCTTCACACGCCTCCCCTTCTCTTCCCCTTGATTGGTTCCCTGATTTGACAGCTCATATATACCCTGTGTTCACAGGGGCGGGCTTGTTTGACAAAGGAGGTGGAGCTTCTGAAACGCGTTACAGCCCGCCCTCTGTTCCATTCACAGCATCTGTCACTTCTCCCTACTACTGGCGGAAAGGCATTCAGAGACGCCGTTCATCCATCGCTGTGGGTCTCCACCTGGGCCTTGCATATTTAATCGGATCTACTCTTCTGATGTCCCTGGCTCCATTGATTTTCATCTTCCACGCTCGCTGAGAGATTGTAAGATGTAAGTTTCTTTATAATAAAGCACTATTGTCTTTATCTACACTGACCTGGCGCCCCGCTTGTCATTCCTTTGCATACCTCTGTGGGATCCCCCTGTCCTTGACAAGGAGCTGCCAGTCCACTTGTGTATTCCACAGCCTCTACGGTCCTTTTATCTGCACATCCATTGGATGGACATGATGATTGCCGCATTCTGAACACACCGATGCCACCCAGAACTCTGCCCCCCCATTCACTCATCCGTGGACTGGTTTTATTCCTTTAACTGCTTTTTATTTTATTTAATTTTGTTCACATTCAATATAATTTATTTAATATAATAATTATTTCTATCTTCTGTGTGAGAGCTGAAGGTTGTTCATTATTTGATGATCATCTCTTAGTCCGATTGGGTTTGTCTGTCCATGGCAGGCGGACCCAATTGGACCCTCCAATTTCCTCTATGGAGCAGTGGGTAAAACGGCTCATTGAGACAGGCTCTGAGTCCCATCCTCCGGGCAGAACTGCTGTCAAGGGTCGGGGGTGGCGGGAGGATGGGGGGCACCAAAATGCAACTTCACCTATGTACACAAAAATCCTTGTACCAGTCCTGCCCAAGGACACACAGAGGTTGCAATAGATAGCGGTAGGGGTGCGCTGAGAGCTCCATCGGTTCCCTTCTACCTCTTCTAAAAGAAGACAAAGGCACAGCAATAAAGTGTTGAACCAAAGTGAATCTTCTCTCCAATCACAGAACTTTCACTGCAAACGGCTTTATTTACTGCTGTGTATCTGAATCTGAATCTCTATGCAACATGATCACTGCACACTGACAGTCAGTCCAGCAGTAAACAAAGTTGAGTTGGAATGTGTAATTATCTCACCTTGGACCTGTCAGTGTTATTGTGAGCACCGGGACAGGTGACGGGCTGGCTGCATTGTTTATTGGTATTACACTGGGGAAGTGATCAGGGGCACTGGGGCTAGCTGGCACTGCAGTCTGTCAGTGTGCATGCACTGTGACAGGCTGCAGGGCCAGACAGCCCCGTGTCCCTGGTCACTGCAGTCTGTCGGTGTGCATGCACTGTGACAGCCTGCAGTGCCAGCCAGCCAGCCCCCTGTCCCTGCAGTCTGTCGGTGTGCACGCACTGTGACAGGCTGCAGGGCCCTGGTCAGCCAGCCCCATGTCCCTGGTCATTGCACATGCACTATGACAGGCTGCAGGACCAGCCAGCCCCGTGTCCCTGGTCATTGCACATGCACTATGACAGGCTGCAGGGCCAGCCAGCCCCATGTCCCTGGTCATTGCACATGCACTATGACAGGCTGCAGGACCAGCCAGCCCCGTGTCCCTGGTCATTGCACATGCACTATGACAGGCTGCAGGGCCAGCCAGCCCCGTGTCCCTGGTCACTGCAGTCTGTCGGTGTGCATGCACTGTGACAGCCTGCAGTGCCAGCCAGCCAGCCCCGTGTCCCTGCAGTCTGTCGGTGTGCACGCACTGTGACAGGCTGCAGGGCCAGCCAGCCCCATGTCCCTGGTCATTGCACATGCACTATGACAGGCTGCAGGGCCAGCCAGCCCCATGTCCTTGGTCATTGCACATGCACTATGACAGGCTGCAGGGCCAGCCAGCCCCATGTCCCTGGTCATTGCACATGCACTATGACAGGCTGCAGGACCAGCCAGCCCCAGTGTCCCTGGTCATTGCACATGCACTATGACAGGCTGCAGGGCCAGCCAGCCCCGTGTCCCTGGTCATTGCACATGCACTATGACAGGCTGCAGGACCCCGTGTCCCTGGTCATTGCCATGCCCAGGCTGCAGGGCCAGCCAGCCCCGTGTCCCTGGTCACATGCACTATGACAGGCTGCAGGACCAGCCAGCCCCATGTCCCTGGTCACTGCAGTCTGTCGGTGTACATACACTATGACAGGCAGTGTACGCTCACAAGCTGCAGCAATGGTTCTCTCTGCTCTCACAGACAAGCTGCATGACAGCAGAGAGAACCGATATTTACCTCCAGTTACTATTGTTTGCACCATGTGCTTGGACACAGCAATCACATGGTGATCACCCAGACAGAGTGGTGATGTGGTCCAGGACACGCCGATCATGGGGCTCCCATGTGCACGCTCTTTGAGCCGCATACGTGAGGACATTCAGGAACATCGACACGCATCCCACGTACATAAACGTCTGGATGGGACGTGTGCCGATATGGGTGGACGTTCCTCCCACATCAGAGGCTCATGTGGATAAAGACGGCAATACCGATCACTGTACTGAAATGAAAATAAACGAACACAGTTGTACCTTTAGCAGGAAGGTTCTCCTGTACACACTGCTTCACCTCCGCGACCTCCTTGTCACTAGTAACATCCAGCCTGATCACCTTCACCTTCCCAGAGGAGGGATAGTTTAACAATGACTGCGCCCCCTCCCCATCCGGGAACAGGCAGGTAGCAAACACTGTGAAGCCCATATCAAGTAGCCTGCGAGCGAGTAGATTCCCGAAACCTGAATCACAGCCAGTGATGAGAACAGCTCGTTCTGCCGGGTCCACACAAACACGGTTCCATCGGCGTCTTACAAAGATCAAGATACTCAGCAGAAGCAGCAAGATGGTGATCTCCATGGATGACCAAGCAGCCACACAGCTAGGATATGTGAAGGCAGCTGCTGCCCGAGGAAATGTGTATAACAAAGCGAAGCTTTACTGACTGAGGAGAGGTTGTATGACACAACGCCGAGTACATCTGAAGTATACGCCCAGCTCACTCCTCCTGTGGGAACAAGACCTAGAAACGTTACGAGTCACGTGAGTACATACAGTCATAGCAGTTACTGGAAGATCAGGGTAACGTGTGACTGTATGTGTAATAGACCAGTGTTTCTCAACCTTTTTCAGGCAAGGCACCCTTTAAAATTATGACAGTGTTCAGGCACCCCATTCTAAAATGTGAAAACTATTCTAATAGTTGTATATAACGCAGCAACATCCACACATGTAGACACCCAACATTAGAGGGGATTTATTCTTCCAAAGCAAATGCACTTCTGCACACTGGTACTGACTAGTATTCCAATGTTTCTCTTCTCCCTTAGTTTTTTTTCCATCACTGAGCTAATGTGACACCAGCACCGACAGAGAGAGGCAGAGGATGATCAAACTAGGATGCTGTGCAGGGAGCTGTCATCCTCCTTATCAACTGATGATGTTATTGGTTGTCAGGATGCCTGCGGCTAGAAGGTCGTAATGTTACACAATGAAAACCTATGCTTTTGTGTAACTAAAATGCAGGCTTGTTCCACCCACTGGCTTGGTTTTGGGCAATATTTGGACATTTTGCCAAGGCACCCCTGAAGAAACCTTAAGGCACCCCAGGGTGCCTCTGCACCCTGGTTGAGAAAGGCTGCAATAAAGCATGCTTGCTGTACTCACTGTGGAAGCTACAGGGTTAATCCTCTGCATTGTGTAAAAAGGATGTTTGATCCTGTTTTGTTCTAATGCCCCCAATCTATCTGCTGATAGAACAGATTCTCAGGGGCAAGCTGCACATTCTCAGTTTGGTGTGTATCGCTAGAACGTTATTTTTTTCCTTGAGATTGTATGTGATCTGCATAGGACCAATCAGCACTGTCCAGACAGAGGGTCAGGGATTCTGCAGCCTCATAGGACAATCAAGGGTGAATGAAAACTCCTCCTCCTACAAGCTTGAACCAGTGCTCTGCTGGACACTGATAGAAGTCAGAAGTCTGTTCTAACTGCTGGTGAGAAATGGTATTTAGCAGTTTATATTTATTGAAATTATTGCATTTCCATGTTCTGTGTACTGTGGAAGAGCAGATATAGTGAATGCAGGGTCCTGGGTTTAGTAACAATTCAAGAGCAGCTCTGTTCTGGAGATAGATGAATAAGAAATACTTGGTAAATCAGCATACAAAATGAGCTCTTTTAATGGATTGCAGAGGTTCCTACCTGCATTTACAGAAATAGTAGCAAAAGCATTCTCGATTGTTGAATGAGCTAAATTGGACAGCAGGGGTGGTGCCAGGTGGGTGCTTGGGTGTGCTGAAGCACCCCAAAAATTTCTTTAAGCACCCCCATAGCACCCGCAAATTCAGGTGCCAGTACTTGCATATGTCACAGTGTTTTTTTTTTTTAAATTTCAGTGTACCTGCATGTTCTCTATTGATGCCAGAAGGCCGGGGGCTTTATTTTCCTGTGGAGGGATACAGCAGTTCTGGTCGAAAAATCCAATGATCTTTAGTTAGACCAGGCAGGCTGGTTTCAGAGGCGGATTGATAATAGAGCCTCTCTGCTGCCTCCTCAGCCAATGAGAGAGCACTGTACCCGCGCCCTTTCACAGCCC